AACTTTAAATGGCCATAACTCCTTTGATTTTTGACGAAATGCTTTGAAATTTAAAACATAGTTATGCATTAGGATATTCTACAATATGATTTAGAAAAAAAAATCTTGAAATCACGTGGATGCACGTGTGCTGCAATCTGATTGGCTAAAACTTGAAATGGCTATAATTCCCTTGGTTTTCAACCAAACAGGATGGGATTTACAACATAGATAGATATAAGGGCCTCCTACAAGAAGGAATGGTCGTCATGCACGTGCACGCACGTGCGTGCATTTGGAACGAGTGAAATTGAAAATACACTTGAATGAGTGATTTTTAATACTTTTGGACTAAATTCTTTCATGTAAAGTATATTTTAATATATAGAAATTGTAGACAAGATTATATTATCATTATGCACGTGCATTCACATGGGCTCGCGTGCAATGTTAAAATTTGAATATAATTGGTATCCTTTTGGGAAAACGTTGTAAAAGTCAAAAATGCACAGATGTTGTCTTATTTAATAAGGCTTACAGGGAATATGGCACCAAAAGGGAGTTGGCGAGCGTTTGCGGAACATCTGTAACGGTTCCCGTTACAATCAGCACTAGTTATGTTTAAGAACTAATGACAGGTACATAGCTACTGAGGAACTTATCTTTTCAATAATCTTGTATGAAATAGAAGAAAAGAGGTATGTTACTCCTTTTATCAATTGTGTACTACATTCGCGTAATAATCTAACATATAGACGATTCAGCGTGAAATTATTGTCAACAAACCCACGTGGAGCACAAATGATTTACAATGATTGACTGGAAGTGACAGGCCTTCTCTTCAAAATAAATAAGGTAACTCATGCTGTGTGATTAGCCTATCTTTTATTGTCACCCGAATCTTTGATTGTTTTAACCTGAAAATGTCGCCTCCCTATGCAGGCATGCTTTAGACATGTTAGATATCGTAGTATGATAGCTGTTATGGTCGGGTCTTATCGAACGAACTGGTACTCTAATTACCATGATGACATGCCTGGGAGAAATTATTTGAGGAATTATCATGCCGAGTTTGTGTATACTTTTATATATCCTTTCTCATTTAATGTTAATACATGTATGTTGAAGGATGGGCCAAAACTGTAAAATCTGGACAGAAATTAAAACGCAAGCATAAGAACTACATTGTGTTTTGTATAGATGTGTCCCTGCTACGGAGGCAGCTAACAGAAAGGGGATATAATTAAGATTGCATTGTGGATTTGCCCTGTGCCACCTCTAAATGGCAGAAGAAAACTCAACTCAGCACAACCAGAAACACTTTTCTGAAGGTGAGTACAATTTATTATGTTTCTAGATAAGTGGAAAAAATTTTCATAACTTATGATACATATTTTTTATAGCATAACAAATCATCTTGATATGGCAAAACTGAACCGAATACTATTTTTGAACGTATATTTTGACTTTTCTAATTTTTGTTGACTTATTTTCTTTTCATTTTTTTTAAATACATGCAAATACATGATTACTTATAATAGTAGGCTTTTGAAAGAGAAAACAAATACAAAAAAATATTAGAGAAGTCAAATCAGTCAATATTTATCATGTTTAATAATCGCTTACTCGATATCTGACTTTTTCATTACATGTACAGATAATTATGAATTCCATTGGAAATAATTTTTGGTACTAAAATTAGTTATCAAATAAAACACAAATGCACAATACACCCAAAATTACAAAAGGTTGTTTTAATTGGATCTATTTGAAAAACTGCTGTGTACACATGTAGGTTATATAACTAGCGAAAGAGAGGGGACAGATGTTGTTGGTCAGGATCGCTAGTCTTATATTATTTCATTTGTTGGTTGTTTCCAGTATATTTACACTAAACTAAATACTACACAAGTTCACTTTCCGCAGTTTTGAATCTTTTGTTATTTCTATATACCCACTTCACTCTTGAAGTTGGTATAGTGGCATTAATTTCTTTGCATGTCAGATTTCACTGAATGAATGAATGTAGATCAAGGCGATAACGGGTATTTTACAGCTAGGTGTAGATGAAGACATGCTAATTACCATTTGCATGTTTTAGTTATAATTGATAAGTTTCTGATAAAAATGTGAACCTTGTAAAAAGAAATAATATACATCCGAGTAAACGAGTAACTTTTTTTTAGTATTCGATACTTGGACCTTGGATCGCGTACCCGGTAAAGTTGACTTCCCTAGAAAATATATTAAAATAACCGGTATATCATAAAAGGTTATTTGAAGTCCTTGATTTCATTTATTGAAAGTCAGATACATAATGTGAAATAATTTTTGTTAAATAAACATTGTGAGATATTCTTAATTTTTTTTTTCAATTATACACTTTGTAGAAAATTCTGCCAAGAGACAGTTGTGAAGGGAATCGTGTAGATAATCTCCAGAAAAGAAATCAGCACTGATATTGGGATGTATGTACCAATATTTTAATACAATCATCAAAGACAAATTTACCACAGGAATAAAAATAAAACTGTCTGGCATTCAAGGGCCTGCCATGGTAGAAGCTCTCCTGAAAAAATATTCCATTTATTGTGGACATCATGACACAGGGTTCACCTGTCATCAGCATTAAAGACTTGTGTGATTTGTTCTACCTGGGCCATATATGTATTGAATGAAAACAATTCATAGAACCACAAGCACATTGTAAATCTATGTAAGGTCTTCTGTGTATGTTGTATTCCTTATATAATTTGCTGTTTTATAACAAGACTTTGTTTCATTGGTACTAAAACTTAATGCATGTACACATACAAAACCCAAAAGCAGTTGTGATATTTATTGTTTTTTATTACTCATTAGTTCTCATTTTTGTGTGAAATTTTATAATTTTCCATTTCTTGTTCCCCAAAACCATATCTTACAAATTTTATGTATTGCAACTTGCATTTCAATTTTAACTTGTTATACTTTACAAAAAACAAGAGGTACTGTGAGCAATCAACTGACTAAATGATATCCCCGCCTCCCATATGATTATAATGGAAAAGTCCATGTTTTTCTGTGACCGGGAAACCCAAAATATTTGTCAGATCAAAAAGTAAAAGAGGAGGTGCACAATGGCAATATGTAATAAAGATTCTGTGAAGGTTTCATTAAATTTCACTCAGTGGTATAAGAGGAATTGCGGATAAGATATGAGTACCCCAAAGCGTAACAGATGGACGAACGGACAGCTAGACGTACGTACGGACGGACATACCGATTACAGTATACCCTCCCACTTTTCAAGCGGGGGTATAATAAATGTTAAAATGTTCATATTGCTATTGACGTGACTTATTCTCATGTATCCGCATCAAAACCGAGACATATTGTTTATTCTTGTTCCTTGGTTTCAATACTACAATCCATCAAAATATCTATCACCCCCCCCTTTAAAAAAGATTATGCTTCAAATATGTGTCATTAAAGTTTTGCACATGAGAACTTGCAAACATGCTTCCGCCTATCAGTACTCTCAGTACTTTGATTCATCTTACATTTTTCTCGGGTCTCAAATAGCAAAACACGGACTTTGCCATTATAATCATTACGGAGGCAGGGTTTCAGTTCGTGCTCAGTGCTAAGAGTAACAGCAGGTGCATATGAAAATGAAAAGAAAACCGAATTGTTGCTCGTGAAAATTCTTTTACCGTATAAGTAGAATTTTTAGCGAGGATTTAATTTTGGCATTATTAGTGAGGGTGCTGACATCGCTAAAATTGAATATCGCTAAAAATTAATTGCGTATTATTTGTAATAGCGTCTTTAGTTTGCACTTCAAAATCGCTTAATTTACTTCTCTCTAAAATGTAAATACCAGATTTTAGGTAGAAATCGCTAAGTTTGCGTCTCGCTAAAATTTCCACTTATACGGTATTTTTTTTAACATTTATCAACATACAGATATATATAATATTTATTGCCAGGTTTCGATATAAAATTTTTTTATTTATCTGTATAAGTTGTCGGTGAAATAGATTTCTTACTAGTAAAAGACAATAATGTAATCTAACAACCAAGCTTACTGACAAACGAGTTGACTAACTTTTTAATCGTACCCTTAGTTATGCAGCAATATACAGCAATACACCTTCATCAGCTGCATACGAACGGGGTTTATATCACTCAGTTGATTCGATATGCAAGAAAATGCTCTACGTACGAACAATTTTTAATTCGAGGAAAGTAACTGACAAATAAGTTGATGAAAGAAAAATATCAGTCTCCTTTAAAGTAATCAATTCATAAGTTCTATGTTCGATACAATGACCATGTTAGGAAATACAATTTATCATTAAGTCAAATGCAGACTGACGTTTTTCGTATTAACTGATAGGCCATTATATACACACTGAATTGTCGACGGATTTTTCCTTTATTTTCCAATCATGCAAAGGACCACAAGGCAGATGTGACCGATCGGCAGGGGACCTTACTTCTCCATTGCAACTGATCCCACCTCTGATGTTTTTGAGGTCCGTGTTTGCTCTACTCCAATTGTGCATTGTCTTATGGACTTTTGAGCTTGAATACCACATTGTTTAAGTTACAGACTTTGAAAACAGGGAATTTGAATATGGTGAAATGCAAATATGCGCAGTCAATGAAACAAAAAATATAGGCCTATTTGCTCAAAACTTTGACCAATCGCTTGAATTAAAATAGTGTAAATCGACGCTAGATAATCGAATTTCTTCATTTAAAACATTAACTTAGGATTCAAAGTAGGTTAATATTTGTATTTTTATAGAATACACTTTGAATCTATCTAAAAATGCCATAATCATTTTAGCTGCATTATACAGTATCTCTATTACTACAGGAATAACAGAAAAGTCCACTATAAAAACGATTTTCTCGAAAATATCAACTTATACAGCAGTTTAAAAAGTATCATACAGCATTATGTTGAATAATTGGTCTTACTAAAAGATATATATTGTCAAATAGAAACTTAAACATCTTTTGAATATCTACTTCGGAGAACTTGTCTGCAAAATCTTCATACTTTTTAACAGAATAATTTTGCAAATGACCAATGTAATGCAAGTTAATTCACGAGACCGATCCATTTTTATTTTTACAAAGCAGCTCTCTATGATGTCAAAATGCTTGGACTAACTTTATCCTGGTTTTTCGAAATACATGTATTGAAAAGTTGAACGTTTTAATGTTTGATTTACATGCTTGCTTTGATAAAATATGCAGTGGTTTCTCATGTTCTTTTAAATGATTTTAGAATATTGTTATCAAAGTCTGAACTCAATAAATAAGCTAGATTACTTTAGAGCCTTTTTTTATATATATATATATATAAATTATATATATAAATTTTAGATGTATACAAAGCAAGAACGACGAGAGGAAGTCTTTCTAAATAACTTAAAGATAACTTTTACATTTTACGGTTAACATAACAGGCACCTGAAACTATTCCTCTCCCCCCCTCTCTCTCTCTCTCTCTCTCTCTCTCTCTCTCTCTCTCTCTTCCAGGAAGAATTTTTAAAAAATCAAATGTTTCAATATAATAATAAAAAGTACAAACATATATATTTAATGTGAAATTAAAACAAAACGGAAATTCGTGCCCAGGGACATATGATGCACCTCTTTCCAAAAAGTTTAAAATGTGTATACATGTACATGAGTAAAATGGTAGATGTAATCCAAATGAAGTTTCATTTCATTGAAATTTCTGAAAAAAAAATTTAAGAAATGAAAAAAGATAATGATTTATAAGAGCAATGACTAAAAATTTTAATTAAAAAAAATCACAATCTATAATTTCTCAATATTATAGAGATGTTATGAATTTGTCAATACAATAAAATTCATACATCCATTTTTTATTTGAGGCGTGTGTCCATAAAAAATGTTATAATACTACTAATACGAATGGATAGACAATCAAACGTACAAATTTATATTGTATTATCAAATAGGTAAGCTGAGGTTTTTTTTTATTATTACATTGCTAGATAAAAAAGATAGCTAGCTTATTTATAGATAGTGAAGGTATTGTATTCAGAAAAAAAGGTTGCCTTTTGGGAGCAAATTTTTAGAGTGTGCTTCAAAAATATTTTCAAGCATTGTGTCCTTATAAAAGAAACCATAGTAAAAGATTTATAAACATGTATATAACTGTGTTTGATCTGCAGCAAACCTATTATATATTTTAAAAATTATACATTAGTAAAATACAATCGTTGGAAAATAAAATTGTTTCGATCCTTAATGGCTTTCTAGCTTGTTTTTTTTTTTTTTTTTTTTTTTTTTTTGCCTATAGTCCATTGTTACATGCTCACTATTGATTTAAAACAATTTTTCTTTAAGAAAAACTGTTCTATTATTACTACAACCAGATAAACTCTTTTACCTTGCCTTTAACTTTATAATAAATACAAAACGTCTTTTTTAATATAAGACGCCACATTTGGTTTTGCAATTATCATTGAACTAGTCAGATGTTTCTCTGAGTGTATATATTATAAAGTTTCACAAAGTACATGAAGTTGCTTTTCTCATGGAGTATTATTAACTTTTCCTACAAAAAGTATTAAACTGCATTAGTAGTTTCGTCAATTTGTTTACAAATTACCTCTTTCTAATTCAAACTGTGTATATATCAATAATTGTTTAATCAAATATGTTTAAGCTCGTTTCCCTCTAGTTTTTTTCTTTTTTAATGGTGTTCTTTGGCCGTTGATCTTTGGTCGAACTGAAATGAGTGTGTTTCATTTGTAAATCTGAAATGACAGTAAGCATTCTGATGTAGGTAGCTCTTGTGAGCATACAGGAACCCTGATAAATCAAAGACGCTTTGTAAGACTCAAATGCACCAGCATGATCACCGGACAATTGTTGACAGATCCCAAGTATCTGCCAGGAAATATTTTTCAATTTGATAGGAACAAATCTCCCCACATCTTTATCAAGTATATTTTTTAGTTCGCACACGGTATAGTAATAACCTGTTCTGTTTCCAAGCCGTACGTTGCAAAGCACAATGATAAAAAGTGTCAACACATATGGAGGAACATGGAAATGTTTGTTTTCAACACGTGCCACGTGCTTTTCAATCCCTAATTCATGTAAATAGCAGACAGCGGAAGACAGACCAATATCTACAACAACAACTTCTCTAAGCTTTGTATTCCATGATTTGTCTTTGCCATATGTCATAAACTCACGCATATCACCAAAGCCGTGTAGATATAAAACGTGAGATTGATTTAGTTCGTTCTTTATCTTTTTCGCAAAGCTTAATGCTTCCATAAATCTTGACTTTCTGCAAAGATACATCCCGTAGAAGACATTATCTGATAGGAAACCATGTTTGACTGCAACCTCCAACAGGTCACCGGATTTACAAATATTACTCGTCTTTTCGTAATCCAGTAGAAGAAATGCCAAGTGAATAAATATTGTACAAATATTTTGTCTTACTGCCATCAATTGGACATGTGTCATAGATTTTCTTTCGAGAAGTTTTTTAATGGTGATCATATAAACTTCGAGATATGGTGGAATAGCAGATTCTGTGCAAAATCCTACTCTGTGATAAATCTCAGTGAATAAAGTACACTCTACTTTATGATTCCTTTCCACGTAAGGATAAGTGATGAATTTCTGCTGAAAAATACATTGCCGTAAACATGAATAACCCATGTTGTATAACAAATAAAGTTTTTCGAGCAACTCTTCTCTGGAGCTACCAAAAATTTTTCCTTGGAACATGTTGTTTTCTTGAATGAAAAAGTTTGGTAAATTGCTCTTATATACACAGAAGATTAAACGTTTAAAGCAATTCCAAAAACAATGTAACAAGTTTTCTGGAGACCAAAATGATCCTTCCTTTTCTTGTATCATGTAAAACATAATAGTTTTCAAAAAGTAGGAACACAATAGCTCTTTGTCATCCAACAATGGCTTGATTACTTTATTGAGAAAAATTTTAAATAAACCGTAACAGGTAAACTGGACATGGTTCATGCTGCGAACACAGTTCAATTCAATAAGATTGAAGGAGATTCGCCATTCATAATCATGATTTGGCGAGTTTTTGCGGCCAATCGGAACAAAATTACAGCCTGTTCTTCTGGCATATTGCAATACAGTTGAATCAGGCCAACCCTTTGTTTCACAATGTTTTATCCACGAAGAAGCTATCTCTGGAAAAAAATCACATTTCAGTGAATGAGCATTGTCATAGCAAACCCCACTACTCAACTGTCCGCTTGCACAAGGTCCATGTAATTGTGAATCTCTAACTACTAAGTGTCTGGTGGATTCCCTGTACTTTAAACTTGACATGTAAGTTCCTTTTCCGAATCTGACATAGCTATCACGAACAAATCTCCACCTAGACCACTTTCCGACTTTCAGGAAGACGGATCCTGGACTATCATCACAATATTCCATCATAATCAATGTTTCTTTGTTGTATAGGTTTTCCTGTCTCGGGTGACAAATAACTTTGTGGTCAGTCCACCAGTATAGAAAATCGGAGTCCGATTCTTTAAAATTAAATCCTTCCCTTTCACTACCGGTTGCCACACGAAAATATGTTGGATATCTATTGAAAAGTAATTTTACTGTCGATGTAGCTGAATTCAAGATAATTTCTTCAATATCCCTTATCTGTCTCCTTATATTCACTTCTGCTGGAGTACCAATCTCGAATTGAAGATATAGGTATGCTTTCTGAGAAAGAATTGATTCCATTGCTCTTATGCTCAAATAGAAATTGTCTATTTTGGTTTTTGGATTTCAGCTAAACTGTTACATTGACATTATCTCAAGCTCAAACTAATTCAATGACAGGAAACTAGTGTTAGATCGGGTACAAAAACGTAACCATAGGGAAAAATGAAAACATTGGTTATCCAATCGTAGCTAGTATGAGATCACAAAATAGTTTAAATATTGTGTTCTCTTGTTGACGTAAAGAAAACTCACTGGATAACATTTTGAATAGGCTTTAAACGTTTTTTACACTATTGTATTGTCTACTGCACACCAAATCAATTGACGCATTCTTTTGTAAGTGAATAGACAACAGTCCTCCTAACTACCCACTATTTTAAGTGACAGTTAATATAATAATTTTTTTTTGGGGGGGGGGTACTTTTTACCACGTCTAATGTGAATAATTTTCATTACAATTTTCTTGGCTCTTCGATTTATTTCACAAATATATTTCTAAAAGAAAAATATAACAATGAATGTATACTAAAATAAATGTCTTTAGATTTCATTTTGGAGGGGGGGGGAGCTCCGATAAAAAGTTTTTAAAATTCAATATCATGTAATGTTAAAACATAGATCTAAAGTCGATTTAGGTGTATGGTTAAAATTATTGTTAAAACAATGACCTGCAACCTAACTCAATAGCAGCAGTTAATTACTGGCCTGCAACCTAATTCATAGCAGCCGTTAAACACTGACCTGCCATATGTTTGATTGATATAGAAAGAGGGAGAAGGAGGGGTTTCTAATCTCTAATTGGAACTGAAAAGATTTAATTTTGATATATCTGTGCAAAAAATTGTGTTTCATCTGCCTTAATGTTGAATTGAATTCTCAGAATACTAGTAACCTAGCTGGGTAGCATGTGAATTCTATTGCTTTTGAAACTTTACCACTGACATAAGAATATGTGACTGGAATCCCAAAGAAGGGGCCTGAAACATGTGGAAATAATTATGAATACATGCACAATTATGCACTGGACAAAATTGTGAACTAGGATTGGCTTGCATAGATATAATGATGAGCTCATTTTTCTGTTGACATTTATGGTGTTTAAGAATAATTTGAACTGCTGAAAAGATGCCTTTTTATGCCCCCGTAAACAAAGTTTCGGGGGTAAATAGTTTTCGTCGTGTCCGTCCGCCTGTCTTTCTGTCTGTCTCTGTCTGTCTGTCTGTCTGTCTGTCTGTCTGTCTGTCTGTCTGTCCAGCTGTCTGTGTCTCTGTCTGTCTTTTTGTCTGTCTGTCTGTTTGTCTGTTTGTCCGCAAAAAACTTTAATCTTGCCTTTAACTTTTGATTCAGTGGAGCTTTGACATTCATATTTCACATGTGTATTTCATGTGATAAGACCTTCCCTTGGGTACCACAAAATTTGACCTTTTGACCTTGACCTTGGAGTTTGACCCACTTGAACACAACTTTGGCCATATCTTTTGAATAATAGACACCAGAACATTTACACTTAATATATGTATTGTTTGTGGAAAGACCTTTCATTGGATACCAACAACTTTAACCTTTTGACCTTGACCTTGGAGATTTTCGTACCTATATAAAAACTTTAACCTTGGCTACAACTTTTAAACAATAAGTACTAGGGCTTTCATACTTCCCATATGTAATTCTTTTGAAAAGACCTTTCATCGGATACAAAGAACCTTGACCTTGGAGTTTGACCTACTTTAAGAATGCAACCTTGACCATAATTTTTGAAGGGTTAGGACTAGGGCATTTACACTTCACAAATTTAATCCTTGTGACAAGAACTTTCATTTGTTATCAAGAACTTTGACCTTTTTACCTTGACCTTGGAGTTTGACCTGCTTTTTACAAACTTTAACCTTGACCATAACTTTTGGACAATAGGGTCTAGAGCTTTCATATTTCAAATGTGTAATTCTTGTGAGAAGACCTTTCATTGGATATCATTTTAAGAATCTTGATCCTTTGACCTTGACCTTAGAGTTTGACCTACTTTTTACAAACTTTAACCTTGGCCATAACTTTTGAACGACAAGGGCCAGCCCTTTCATACTTCCCGTACGTAATCTTTGAGACAATACCTTTCTCTAGAAACCAACAACCTTGACTCTTTGACCTTGACCCGGAGTTTGTCTTATCTTATAAAATTTTGACCTTAATCATAACCCTGGAACAGGTGTAACTAGCGTTGTATATTTTGCATTTCTTGTGAAAAGGCCTTACTTTTGGTAACAACATATCTGATCTGCATTTGAGAAGCTTATCCTGCGCTATTTTGCCATAGGGGACATCAGTGTTTCACGAACACATCTTGTTCACCATTAAAATTAATGTCTTGTATTTATTAAAAGAAAGAGGGCGTAAAAGACGTGGACAATTCCTTTAGAAGCTTAAAAGAAAAATATAACAATGAATGGATACTAAAATAAATGTCTTTAGACTTCTTTTTCGAAGGGGGGGGGGAGGGGCAGCTCCGATAAAAAGTTTTTTTTAATTCAATTGTATGTAATGCTAAAACATAGATTTTATAGTTGATTTAGGTGTATGGTTAAAATTTTCTGCAGTTTCTATGAAACGTACTCAACATGTTTAAATGCTCCAAAGATCACCAATTAGATATTATAATTTTTCTCTCTCTTAATTATTATGTTTTACATATCTTTTTATAAGCTTAAAAACTTACGACTTTTCAACTTTATACACAACCATATCCTATGATAAACTTAAGTCCACTGAGGTTATCTGATATCACCAGGCTGCTTTTTCAATAAAAATAGAACTTGAAAATTTAGTTACCTTGTCATTGGTCATTTGCAAAATCATTTTGTTAAAAACATTCTAATTGTATGCACAGGTATTCTGAAGTTGACATAAAAATGATGCTGGGGTTTCTGATTGACATTATCCGTGTCGTCTTTGAGACCAGATCTCCCAAAATCTATTGGAATTCCCATGGGTACCAATTGCGCACCGTCATTAGCAGACCTATATTTATATTCAAATGAAGCAAAATTTGATCAAAATCTTATACGTGAAAAAAGAAAACACCTGCTGTGACCTTCAACTCGACATTTAGATATGTCGACGATGGTTGTCAACTAACAATAGTTATTTCTATTCTGATGTCGGTACGATATATCCCAGTGAACTTGAGAAAAAAGATACCACAGATTCTGACAAATCTGTTTCATATTTGGATATTTTACTTGTTTTAGGCGTTAATGGTAATCAAACAACCAAACTCTACGATAAATGTGATGACTTTAACTTTTCAATTGTCAACTTCCATTACTCATGCAGCAATACACCTCAACAAACTTTTTAAGCTCACATGGTTTTTTGCACAAATTAAGGTCACATTTCTTTAATAAAAATTACTTTTTTCGAATCTCAGAATGATGACATAGCCCTACGTTATATTACATATATAATGTCAAGTATAAATGTCCTTTAAAAGTATTATCTTAAGTTTCCAAAGTGGATGTTTTAGAGGGGAATTTATCAATAAATGGTACGATGTTTCTACTATAGGCCTCTACCATAGTTTTTTACAAATAATATAAAACGTGCTTTCTTTGATACAATGTAGTTGAAAATTTTTAATTTTCTTCTTAAAGGTACTTGGACACAGATTTGAAGTTATTATTTTCTCTATAATATTACGACTTATATATTTTAAAAGCATATCACACAAAAATTAATCAAAAATCTAATTTCGTTTAAAAGATATTGAAATTTCAAATTTTTCGGCGGGTTTGATTGACATATCCTTGCACTCTCATAAATTTAATTTTATTCTTAATCCTTAGGAAAAGTGGCAATCTCGTTTTGTATAAATGAAAAATATTAATACTATAATCCAGAAAATTCAGAGTAGACACGTTCGAAAGCAAAACAAACACACAATATATTGTCAGTCCGTGCAGTTGTGGTAAGCATACTGTGACGATTGAACGCACCCGGTGAATTCTAAATATAAACAATAACAGAACTCGAGCCCTGTTTACAAAAACTGTGTACATAACACGAGTGTGCTCGATTTGCTAAACTCTGTACGCATCTCTTAGTTCGGAATGACGATACTTGTGAAGGTGTTTTGCTTTCGAACATTTCTACTCTGAATAAAATTATTTTTCTTGATAAAAGTTTTAATATTTCTCATTAAAACACATCAAAATTGCCACTTTTCCTAAGGATTAAGAATAAAGTTAAAATTTGTGAAAGTGCAAGGATGTGTCAATCAAACCCGCCAAAAAATTTATAGTTTTAATAACTTTTAAATGAAATAAGATTTTTAATTAATTTTTGTGTGAAATGTTATTAAAATATATAATTCGTGATATTTTACAGAAAAAATGAGAAAATATTAACTTCAAATCTGTGTCCAAGTACCTTTAAAGGTGAGTCTTTTTTAAAATTCTTTGCTCATTTACCATACTCATCTGAGTTTTGTCGAAATGTAGCACCGAAAAAGGATAAAATTGCAGAGAGAAACCATACTACAGGGTAAGATAATGAAGTATGGGGGTTTTTTTTAATAGTAATTTTTTTCTATGAAAAGGAATATTCTTCTGCATTTACGGTTTGAAACGTTAAAATTTTGCTGTGGGATGAATCTTTCATGATTATTTTTAGAAGGTGACTCTGAAAAATGCCACCTTATTAACATACAAAGCAGTCAAACAGATGAAAAATACTATTAGATTCACTTATCGTTTTTACGTAGAAGGCAAATACTAGTATTCTTTTTTCAGATTTTGTTTAGACATTTTGCTTGATGGTATTCAAATTAGCTGGCAATGTTCATAACACATTACTTGCCTTATTCAAAAGACTACAACATTTGTGAAACTGTTGTAGCGTTCTCTGGCTCAATGCACACGATTTGTTATCAGGGGTGGATTCACATTTTTTTCCAGGAGAAACTCGAGAAAGGGGGAGTTTATGATTTTATAAAAATAAATTTCAAGTTATGTTTTAAAAATAAGTTT